TGATTTTCTGAGTCAACATTGATTTTTATGATGTGCTATGACTGAGATGGTGGAGTGCACTGTTTCTCTCTCAAAATGAATTTAGATGTTTTATCCACTTGCAAATATGGCTGATTGTATGCTGATTTTTTTTTTGGATGTAGAATTAAAATATCCATTAATCAGGTTTCTAATAAACAAGATTGCTAATTTATTACAAAGCAAATCATATTCAACAAAGCTGTAAAACTGGTTATCTCAGACATTTTGTAACATAAAAGCTTAATGTTTACCCCTCTAAGAAACCTAAAACGCATGAGAAACCAGGTAATGGAACAAAACAGATTTCTCTCTGCAGAGGTTCACTTTGGGCAAATAAAGTTTTTGACCAAGAATTGTTCTTGAAGGCAAAAAAAAACTGTGGAATGTTCAGATGGTTGTAAATCTGACATTCTGGCATGCATGAGAAGGTCACAAGACATGTGCAGTTATCTCTGGGGTCTTGGCAGATGCAGCTTGCTCAGGAAACACTATGAGAAATCTTCCGGCTGCACCTGAGGTTACTGTTGAATTTGGCATGGAAGTTAAAACAAAGGTGCTTCAGAAGGGCAGAGAGTTCAGTTGGGAAGACTTTTAATCTTTGTGTTCCTATGTACCTGCTGTCCTTGTTGTTCTAGATGGTAGTGATTGTAGTTTGGAAAATGCTCACGAATGAGCCTTGGTGAATTTCTGCAGTGTATTTGTAGATGATACACGTTGCTACTCCTGTGCACTGGTGATGGAGGGAATGGATGTTTGAGTGTAAAGCCAATCAAACGGGTTGATTTTGTCCACTGGCATCAGGCTTCTCAAGTGTTATTGTGGAGCTACGCTCATCCAGACAAGCGGGAAGCATTTGATCATAATGCTGAGTTGTACCTTGTGGGTGGTCCCTGGAGGGTCATGCTGCGGGATTCCTAACCTCTGACCTGCTCTTGGAGCCACAGTCTTTACTGAACATTGTCCAGTTCAGTTTCTGGTCAATTATAAGACTCCAGAATGTTGATAGTGGAAGTTTAGTGATTTTAATGCCATTGAACATCAATAGGTGCTGTCTGGATTCTCTCTTACTGGAAATGATCGTTGCATAACACTTCTGTGGCATGAATGTTACTTGCTTTGTGTCAGCCCAAACCTGGATATTGTCCAGGTATTACTGTATTTGGACATGGACTGCTTCAGTACCTGAAGAATTGCGAATGATGCTGAACATTGTGCAATCATCAACGTACATCCCCATCTTCACCCTTGTGTTGGAGTGTAGATATTTGATGATGCAGTGCAAATGCTTGGGATGAGGACACTACCCTCTGAGGAACTCTTGCAATGATGTCCTGTAGCTGAGAAAGCTGACCTTTCAACAACCACAGCATCTTCCTTTTTGCTTGGTATGACTCCAATCAGCAGAGAACTTCTAGCTTTCCATTGATTTTAGTTTTGCTCGGGTCTCTCGATGAAATATTCACTCAAATGTGTTTATGTCAAGAACAGTTATTCTCCCCTCACTTTGGAGTTCAACTCTTTTTGTCCACGTTTGAACCAGATTATGGTGATCTTAAAGCTAGACACCCCTATCTAACCCAAACTGACTGTCACTGAGCAAATGCTGTTTGTAGCACTGTAGGTGACCATTGCATCATTTTACTGATGATGAAGAGTAGACTCATGGAGCTGTAATCAATTGCATTGGATTTATCCTGTTTTTTAGGTGCATAGGGGATACCTGGGCAGTATTCCACATTCCCAGGTAAATGCCACTGCTCTAGATGTATTGGAGCACTTGGCTAGGGGCACAGCAAGTTCTGTAGCACAATTCCTCAGTGCAATTGCCAAAATGTTATCAGAACCTGTAGTTTTTGCAGGATCCAGAGGATCAAGCTATTTCTTGATATCCTGTGAAGTGAATTGAATTGGCTGAAGACTGACATCTCTGATGCAGAGGTAAATAAAGATCCAGTGGCAGTGATTTAAGAGGATTTTTCAGAAAACAGAAAATAGATACATTGTAATTGGTAAGAAAAGATCCAAGGGATGGAGCCACCATCTATGGTTAACTATGACCATTAAAGGTTCTTTCAAACTAAAAGAGGAAGCATTAAAATGCAAGAGCCACCAATTTTTATGATCCTCGTAGAGACCTTTTCAAACACAAATTGAAATTCCAGAAAGTGGCCAAAAGCCTCGTGCAAGATTTCAATGTTTAAGACCCTTACTGTGGCACACAAACTAAAAGCAACATTGACTAAACTCTATTTCAGTAGGTGACTTGTACTTTCAGCTACAGAATAGATTCCTCATTTAGCATGGAGTGGCATGGTGACACAGTGGTTAGCACTGCTGCCTCACAGTGCCAGGGATCCAAATCCCCCTCGAGTGACTGTCTGTGTGGAGTTTGCATGCATTTTCCCTGTGTCTACGTGTATTTCCTCTGGTACTTCAGTTTCCTCCCTTAGTCCAAAAATATGCAGTTTTGGTGGACTGGCCGTGCTAAATTCCCCACAGAGTCCAGGGGTGTGCAGGGTAAGTGGGATGCCATGATAAGTGCAGAGTTACAGGGATGCAGAGGGTCAATGTAGACTTGATAGGCTGAATGACCTGCTTTCACACTGTACGGGTTCTGTGATTTAGAACAGCCAAAAATCCCTCTCCACTGTGTTACAAAGCTTGCACTTTTTGAGCCAGACACTAAGTGAAAAGAGAAACCAAAAGGGCAAGTTGAGAAAGGAAACTGATCCTCCTAGTTTCTAAGGAAACTAAAACTGAAATTGGAAACCAAACAAAGTTGAAAGTGTATAAGAAGGACACAACCATCAAAGCTCAAACAATGATCCCAATGGTGAAGTATAGGTAGGCTGATGCAGAAACAGTTGAGTAGTTGTTGCATAAACACTGAAAGAATTGCAGATGCTGTAAATCAGAAATAAAAACAGAAGTTGCTAGAAAAGCTCAGTAGGTCTGGCTGCAACTGATTTCATAGAGTTAACGTTTCGAGTCCGGTTAGTTCTGAGGAAGGGCCACTGGACCTGAAACGTTAACTCTCATTTCTGTTCGCAGATGCTGCCAGACCTGCTGGGCTTTTCCAGCAACTTCTGTTTTTGTTATAGTTGTTACTTGAAGGTAATCTTTGTTCGTCACAGCCTGGGTAATCTAAGTTGGGTAAATTCTGCAAACACGTACCATCCTGGTGAAGAATGTGCCCCTGGAAGTTATAGTGCGTTTGCGTTGATGTCCCTTGTGGATTGAGCTAAATCCTCGAAGATGAGAAGCTGAAATTCTTCATGAAGCAAATAGTTTTGAACAACTTTATAATCGACTGAGTGGGCTGTCAAGCCAATTCTTAAGACCTGTCTTTGTTGTATCATCAATTTATACTTTATAAACAAGTGCAAATTACCTATTAAAATTCATGTTTAGGTGCGGTAGATTCTGTGTTCTAAGAGTATAATGAATTTAGCATTTGCTTCAGTTGACTTTTGTATAGTAAAAATTATTGTGTTTGTTCTATGAAACCTCATGTCTTTATGGTTGCAGTGGAGAACAGGGATTTCAGTTTTCTGGAGACACTTCATTCTCCAGAAACCAGTCCAAAATGATTCTCTTTTTTTTTAAACCAGATAACTTCTAACTCTCAAATTAACTTTCCCAATGTGGATTACCCTGAAGGTACTTCTCTGTTGCCAAATCTTGGCAATCTGCCAGCTTTGTTCAATCCCCTGGTTTGGCCTCTTGTTCTCCCTGTGAGGAGACTTGGCCTGTTCAAACCAAATGCAAGCTTTGTCCTCATTTTGGATGGGGAACAAGAGAGATTTGCTGTCCCTCTCTTGCAGGCTGTCTTTCACTTTTCAGTGAGATCTTGCACATTGACTTTTTGTAAAGTTCATTATCAATGATATTTCTAGGGAAAGTTTTAAACTAAATCAGCACTGACTTAGTATGTACTCTTTTCTTCTCTAAGCCTGACAGTGTGAATCACGTGAGTTTTGGATCCAGGCGGAAATACTAATTAACTATCCTTTAGACTCCCAGCTTAGGGCCGCTTTGTGGTGCAGTTGTGGTGTCCCTACCTCCTGAACTGAGAGGCCTGATTCAAGTCCCACCCTCTCCAGAAGGGTGTGATAACGTCTTTGAACGGGTTGATTAGAAAAACAGGTTAATAATAATAAAAAAAAAAGACTCCCAGCTTGAAGGGCTTGTGTTGCACAGTGGTAATCTCCCAACGACTGAGCCAAGAGGCCCATGTTCAATTCCTACCTGCTCCAAAGGCAAGAATATCTCTGAACATACTGATTTAAAAATATCAAGACGCCTACCTTGGGTTGTTGTGAAACAGTGGCAGTGCCCCTGTCTCTGAGTAGTGATTCCTGGGTTCAAGTCCCACCCGCTCCAGAAGTGTGCTGTAACTTTTCTGAACAAGTTGATCTGAACATAAGTAGAACTCCAACTTCGTCTTATATTGAAACTAAATAGACAGTTTAAAATGTAACTGATAACAGAACTTTACATTCCTTAAGTTTCCCTGGGATATGGTTACTAACTGTGTATCTACTATCAACTCAGCTGCCATGGTCATCGCTAGCTGGTGTGAATTTCTTGCACTTTACCGTCAGTAGACGTATTCTGAGTCCACCCCTCCCCATTCCTTCATTTTAGCTAAATTAAAGGCACGCTTCCAAACTTTAACAATGTTATATCACCTTGTATTTATAGCAAAAGTGAGATAGAATAAGGAAGAGGTAGGTTCTTTATCAAACATAGTAGGAACTGATTTTCTGAAGAAGGGTCTTGACCGGAAACATCAGCTTCCCTGCTCCTCTGATGCTGCTTGGCCTGCTGTGTTGATCCAGCTCTACACCGTGTTATCTCAGGTTCTTTATCAACCTTTGGCCCAATATGTTGGTGCCATAGTGGGAACATAGGAGTTGATCTTGAATCTGGAAGACTAAATCCATTCAACTGTACTTTGTTATTTTAAATTTCTATAGGACGTCAGCTGTAATGAGATACAGACATTACCACCACAGATTGGAAACCTGGAGATTTTAAGGGACCTAAATTTAAGGAGGAATCACTTGGTAACACTCCCAGAAGGTTAGTGTTTTTGCACTTTTTAGTAAGATATGTGCCTTTCTTTTTTTTCGCCTTAGTAGGAAGCACAAAGCATTTTGATACTTGCATGCCATATTAACTTAACACATTGCATTGTCTTTTTAAATAATTGTAAAGTGCTTTCCTAATGGCTAAATTGACAGATGTATTTATGTGATATCATATTGCGATATGTAGATTAAAATAATCCATAATCCATTCTTGGTCAATTGTGAAGCAACTGATCTTGGCATGAGAGCAACTGCAGTTGGCGATGGTGCAATGGGGTGGTCACCATGACCACTCAGTTCTCATTCTCAGGCCTTGTTGGAGCCTTGATCCAAACATGGACAAAATAGCTGAATCCCAGAGGTGAAGTGGGACATGTGGAGGCGGGATGCTCAGGTGTTTGCATGCTACTTCCACTGTTTATGTTTGACCGCTTTCAGAACTTACTGGAGACACTTAAAATGAGTGGCTCCTTGGACGAGGCTTCTTCTCCAAATTGACCGTTCTTGAGGTAGAGATCTCATATATTAGTGGGAGCGTTGAATTTTTTCTAGGGAGGTTCTGAGGCAGTCCTCGAAGTGTTTCCCCATCTGCTGATAACTATTTGCCATGAAAAAGCTTGAGCAATAGAGAGTTTGCATGCAGCCATTGTGGCCCATAGAACAAAACTGACTGATGGTAGCCAGAGTCTTGATACAGGAGATGTTTGCCTGAGTGGGGGCATTGATATTTGAGCACCTATCCTGTTGGCAGATTTTTATGATTTTGCAGAGACATCACTGGTGATATTTCTCAAGTGATTTGTAGTGCTTACTAGACATTGCCCTTTTCTCTAAAGCATGCTGAAGAGCTAGTAACGCTGGTCCCTTATAGACCAAGCAGATTGGTATCTGATATGGGCCCTTTGTTATCAAACACACTGTCCCCTCAAATGGATAAAGACTGTGCTGGTACACTGGAGGCAATGTTGAATTTTATTGATGACTGCAGTCCCAATACTCCCAATGTGCAGGAATTGATCTGCATTATCCAGCAGATCAAAAAGGACCTTGATGATTGGGTGCAGTATGTGGCAAGAACATGCTGGTAGAGGACCTTTATCTTTTGAGTGTTCAATTGCAGTTCCATTCTCTCATGTTTCCTTAAATGCATCGACAACGGTTTGGAGTTCGGCCATTAAATCTACGCAAATGCAATATTGAAGCTGCATACTGCAATAACAAAGTTAGAGAGATGAATGCATGGATGAAAGACTAGTGTAAAAGAAGTGGGATTGGTTTATGGGGCACTGGCACCAATATTGGGGAAAGTGGAATCTGTACCGTTGGAACAGTCTACACTTGATTCATAATGGGACTGAGGATCTTGTGAATCACATAACTATGGAAGTAGAGTGGGCTTTAAACTAAATAGTGGGGGCAAGGATCAAAATTTGGAAAGTGGTGGTGAATCAGAGTGCAGAAAAGAGCAACAGAGGAAGTAATTAATGTAGGAAATGATTAACGGACAATGATCGGAAGGGACAGTGAATATAGATCAAAGAGCAAATCTGCAGATAAGATCAGAGGTTACAAAAATAATCAAAGTACAAAACCTAAGGCACTGTATTTGAGTGCACATTACATGTGAAGCAAACCAGATGAACGAGTACAATTTGAGATAAATAAGTATGGTCTAGCAGCCGTTACTGAAACAAGGCAGCAGGGAGACCTAGATTTGGACCCTGAATTTTGAGGGGTATATGAAATTTATGAAAGACAGGAAACTAGAAAAGGGTCAACAAATGCCTCTGTTAGTTAAGGATGATATTAGCATAATAGAGAAGAATGACATAAATTCAGGAAACCAGGATATAGAAGCAGTCTAGGTAGATATGAGGAATGATAAAGGCATGAGTCACTTGTAGGAGTTGTGTACAGATCTCAAAATAGTAACAACTTGGTAGGATAGGGTAACAAGGAAGAAATAATGGGAGCTGGTCAGAAGAGTACAGCTGTTTCTAAGGAGGGATTTTAAACTACATATAGACTGGATAAGATCGGTAAAAGCAGTTCACAAGAGGACATACTTGAATATTTTCAGGGCATATTTCAGACCAGTGTGTTATGGCACCAGCCAGGGAGCAGGCTATCCTAGACCTGGTTTTAACCAACAAGATAGGATTAATTACATACCTCATAGTGAAACTGCCCCTGGATAGTATTATCATAATTTGATTGAGTTTTACATACAGTTTGAGGGCGAGAAGTGTGGGTCCAAAACTGGTGTTTTGAATTTAAACAAGGGTAATTATGACAGCATGAAAGGAGAGCTAGTGAATGTGAACTGGCAGTTTTGATTAAGGGTCAAGTATGTAGAAATGCAGTGGCAAAGATTTAAGCGGATATTCCAGAAAGCGCAAAATAGATATATTGCAAAATTAATAAAACTTCTAAGGGACAGACCTGCCACATGGTTAACTGAAAAAAGTCAAGAACAGTATCAAACTCAAAGAAAGACATAAAGTTTTCTAAAGATGGGTGGCAGGTCAGAAGATGGGACAGAATTTTTAAAAAAAAAAACAAAGAATTTCTAAAAAAAAAATTAATAAGAAGGGAAAAATTAGAGTATGAGGGAAAGTTAGCTAAAAATATAAAACAGGAAAAGTTCCTTTGGATATTTAAAAAAGAAGTGTGCCAGTCCTTTATGAAATGTTTCTGGGGAAATGGTAATGGATAAGGAGATGACAAACAAATTGCAAAAACAATTTCTGTAATCTGCATTATAAAGAATACATGCAGCATCCCAAAAATAACTAAATCAGCAACTGAAAAGAAGGGAGGAACAATGAGTGAGTGAAAAATTAACAGGGAGAATGTCGAGTTGAGCTGAAAGTCAGGTTATCCATAACCTTTTTGAATTGTGGGACAGATTTGAAGGGCCAACTGGCCTACTCTTGTTCCTTGTTCAAATGTTTGTTCTAGTCTCACTTGCCTTGGAGGTGTGTCACAGCCAAACAGAAACAGGCCACAAGTTGTTGGTGACTGGAAGATGTGATGTGCTGGCAGTGCTGTTAGCTGAAAATATGTCAAGAGCAACCAAAGTTAAGAACAGAGTGGGAGGCAAAACCAGAGGAAAGCAAGACCAAGAGAAGGGCAACGCAAGGAGACAATGCCAAGAGGAAAAGCTGGGTATGGTAGGGGATAAGATGACAATGTTAAACCTGAAATTGAACAAACACGTCCTAATAAAACAAATTTCAATTGAAATAACATATGTGGGGCACCATAAAGTACAGACTACCTATCGCATTTGTAACTTTAGAATACAAAATGTTCTTCAAAATGTCTGCCTTTTGAAACGGTTTAAGTTATTTTTAAACTTAATGTTATGGTTGCTATTTATAGAGACTGGAACTGAAATCCTAAATCATTTATATTTAACAAGTATTGGATTGGACTGTGACCATTAAAATAAATCTTTTGAAATGAAAAAGTTTTCATTAATTTGAAACTTACTACAAAGCCCAGTTGGACTATGGCGACTTTACCTTTGCCCCAGATGGGGTGACAGGTTTGTCCTGTTGGAGTAAGTGTAACCAAGTCTCATTATTATTATTAACATAAATGTAAATAAACCAGGAAAAACATTTTTATGCAGTATATCTTTAAGATCAGGAATGCATTGTGTGCGAGTGGTTGAAGTAGATATAATTGAGCTTTGAAAAGATTGTTTGATCTGCAAATGAAAGAAATTTTAAAAAAAGGCCAAAGGGAAGCTTAGGAATTATCTGAGTTGCTGCTGCAATGAACCAATCAGTATGTACATAACAGTTTGAATGATGACCTCCTGTGCTCTAGCCATTCTATGAACTATGGAAGAATAGTTGATAATGGAGAAACTCAGCAGGTCTGACAATCTCTTGTGGCAAAAGCAACTGTCAGTGTTTCGAGTCCAATATGATTCGACTTTGGCATTACCTCTGCGTTTCAGTGTACAGGTGCTGCCAGATCTGAGGTTTTCAGCAACTGCTGTCTTTATACCAGCACGAGTTGGTGGGGAGGAATGACTATCTATATGACCTTATTCCTATGTATTCTGTATGATAGTTAAAATGTCTAAAAATGAGAAAACAAAATGACTTCACGATTGTATCTCAGACTTGTAAGAAATTCAAAATTTTGTTATTTAACTGGTTAAAATCACTGAGATAACTAGCTCCAAAATATTTATTTATAATAACAAACAAGCTATGTATATGAAACTGCTTAGAAAGATTTTAACATAAACTGAATTTGAATTGGGGTATAAAATGTGGAAAATAGATGATGAGCGAACTTGGGAGCAGGAGAGAGCCTACTCGATTAAGCCTGGAAGATAGCAATAATGTGAGTGACAAAGGTGGTTGGTGGGAGAATGAGATCTAGAGCTTTGGAGCTTGTAATGGCTTCTAGAAGTTGTAGTTTGATAATTTGATAGCATTAGCCTTAGAATACAATGCATACAGTTGTTTGTCGTCCATTAGATATAGAGGTTATATTGCTCATTGGCTCATGGATGCTGTATAGCTGAGAATCACAGTTTGCTGCATAGCACTGAGGACAGTGAACTCAGTGCCAGTAATGTTTGTGAAAAAATGTGTTGGATCATGTCATGGGATGGGATGAGAAAAGAGCTGCTGTGATAACTGGAAAAAATATCTGAGCTGCTGAATCTTGGGTGTGGTAAAATTATAATTTATAGGCAAGTGAGGAAATTCTCATGGTAGCTGTAACACAGACCTCTTTGGATTGGAATTTATGCTAAATTTTGTATATTATGGTAAATAACTAGGAAAGTTAGAAAATAATGAACTATGAATGGAAAATGTACATGTAAAATCCGGCATGGAAGAAAAGTTGTTGCTCTACTTTGTGTCAAAGATAGTACGCTTGTCAGGTTCAATATGCACAGCAGACACTTGTAATTTCTTGAGTGTTTTTATAGGCAGATGCCTTAAATTGTCTTATGCTGGTCCAAATGGAATGACTCATTCGTTAGAGTAAATGTGTTTCAGAATTTGTGAAGTCAATTCACAATTTGAGCTAAAAAATTTGAATTTTCCAGTAATTGAAATTAAGCAAAGTTAAAAAGACAAAATTCCTGTTGGGTTTATAATAATTTTAAATTTAATTATTTTGTTTTAAACTGTGCTGAATTAATTTATTCTTAAGAGTAAATGGTATACCTGGGGCAATTTTAGCCCTAAACCATCCTTTGAAGTCAGTAGGAGACACCTTTGTCGAATATGGGTTATAATGTTTTTTTAAAACATCTTAGTGAAGTTTGCTTTTCAAAGATTAATTTGACACTGCGATCTAGCTTTCTTAAATGCAATAAAATTTTCAAATGTTGAAGATATGCTGTAATGTTGTCCTACAGAGGACTCAACTCGCAGGACACCATTCCTATTGTGTAAATCAATGACTTGGTTTACTGCTTTGTTAGAGCTTGCAGATTTGCCGCTCGTGCGATTAGACATCTCCTGTAATAAAGTGACAACAATTCCAGTCTGTTATCGAAACCTACGGCATCTCCAAACAATCATTTTGGACAATAATCCCTTGCAGTCTCCGCCTGCGCAGGTACGACCTCCAAGAAAATGATTTGTTTTTATTGTTAACTTTATATTTCAGACTTAACGTTTCACTAATTAATTTATAAATCACGAGCGAGATATCACTGAAAGTTGGTAAATTAATGAGAACAGCTTTTGTTGTTTTATGACATGTGGCAGTTTCGACTTATCTACAACTAGAATTTAATGGATTTGGATTTCTTTTTAACCTTTTCCGTCAGTTCATAGATACAATTACACATATCTGGACAGTTAATTGTCAGGTTTCTTTTTTTTAAATTTGATTTTATATCTGGAATTGTCAAAATGCACAATTGAATGGCTTTTTCCTACCATCAAATCACCTGTGGTACTTTTACCAGTTATCCACCACCACTAAATCACCTGTGTTCTCCAGTTAATCAAATTACATTCAGTTCCCAGGAAGGACAATGCACATCACTAATGGTGAGAGAATGAGCTATATCAAAATGGAGTTCAAAGAGAGAAAAGGCATTCCACACACTGCAGTGTCCACCTTTCTCTAAAAGCATCAAGAGTATTTGTGAACGCTGTGTGTTTCCTGTCCAGTGACACCCAGGCAAAATCTTAACTGCAGAAGCAGGGCAGGTCATTGCTCTTAAATTGGCCAGACCCAGGAGCAGACCAACAAAGAGGTTCTCTGACTTGTCCACATACCTCTGCCCTGGATGCCAAAAGTTCAGGAGCATGGGACTGAAGTGCAACCAAAAGCACAACGAAAGATTGTTCAAATAACTAAAGAGGGTGGAACTGCCCACAACCAATATATACATGCTCCATGGACAGAACTAGAAAATTTTCAGGTTTCCTTCACTGATAATCATTAATATCATCTGACTATAGTTAGCAGTTTGAAACTCATTCAACACTGCCCTCTCACTGATTGTTCTTGGTTCTGTTTGCTGTCTCATTCCTACTTTTCTTTACTGTCCTTTGAGTCTGTTTTACCAGATTTACAAAAATGCCTGTCTATCTTTTGGCCTTCGGTCAAGGGAACACAGCAAAATGATCGTAATCTGCTTTTTCTTAATGATTTCTGATGGACTTATGCTGTATCACTTGCAGCCTTTTCCTGTTCTTCTTGAAGTTCCAACAATTGTAGCTTGTTTTGTCATTTTGCAGATGCCTTGAGTTTTAAATGTTCTTTTATTTTTAACAATTTTTAAGATCAGTATAAATAGGTTTGCTTTTCATTCCTGTTGAGAGATTCTGCATTTGCTTAGATTTGTGTTGTGCTTAAATTCTCTACTGGAGTTCAGTATTTAATCTAATACAATGTTTAAAGATTTATGCTTTTCTTTTAGATTTGCATAAAGGGGAAAATCCATATATTCAAATACCTGAATATTGAAGCATGTAAAAGCGTTCCAGACATGCCAGAATATGATCGAACAAGACCAGTTGGATTCAGTTCATGGTTGGTGATGAAACTTACCAATGTAAACTTGGTTAAATCTAGTAATGACAAAAAGTGTTTCACTTGCTTTGGTACTTAGTTTATATATCTTATGTATCCAGTGTCTTAAATGACCACATGTGCAGGAAATGCTCCCAGCTGCAGAAGCTGGAGCTCCGGGTCTTGGAGCTTGAGCAGTGGTTGGAGACACTGTGGCAAATCCATGGGCTGAGAGTTACTTGGATAGCACGTTTAGAGAGGTGGTCACACCGCAGCTCAAGGGACTAGAGGAAAGAAGGGAATGGGTAACCACCAGACAGGACAGGCAGGTACTGCAGAAGTCCCCTGGGGTCCCACGCACTAACTGGTATTCCATTTTGGAAGCTGATGAGCGTGCTGGCACCTTGGAGAAATGTAGTTAGAGCCAAGCCTCTGGTATCATAAACTGCTTGACTGTACAGATTTGCGGGGTGGGGGAGAAAGAAAAGAAAAGCCGAAGTGATAAGGGATTCTTTAGTCAGCAGGCATTTCTGTGGTCGAAGAAGTGACTCCAGGATGTTGAGTTGCTACCCTGGTGCCAGGGTCAAGGATGTTACTGAAAGGCTTCAGGACATCTTGAAAGGAGAGGGTGATGAGTTAGATGTTGTGGTATATGTTGGTGCCAACGATATGGGCAAAGTGAGGAATGAGGTCTTGCATCAAGAATTCAGGGAGCTAGGCAGTAGATTAAAAACCTCATTGATTCTAATCTACGGATTACTCCCGGTGCCATGTGCTAGAGAGCTTAGAAGTGGGAAAATAGGACATACGAATGTGTGGCTGAAGACTTGGTGCAAGAGGGAGGGTTTTAGATTTCTGGATCACTGGGACCATTTTTGGGGAAGGTAGGACATGTACAAATGAGATAGTCTACACCTAAACCACATTTGGACCAATATCCTTGCAGGTATATTTGCTAGTGCTTTTGGGAGAAGTTTAAACTAGTGTGGCAAAGTGAGGGGACACAGAATATCGATAAAACAGAGACGCATCATGCTGCAACAAAGGGAGCAAGTCACAGTGAGTTCAGCTATGTTGAGTGTCAAGAGAGTAAGGTAAGGCTGGATGATCTTTATCTAATGTTAGGAATGTAATAGGTTGACTGATCTGTTAATTCTGTGGATTGACACATTAAAGTATGGCAGTGTTGCCGTCACAGAAACGTAGTTGAGGGAAAGGCTGGACTGGCCACTTAACATTCCGGGCTATAGGATCTTTAGGCGAGACAGAGGAGGATGTAAAAAGGATGGTGGTGCAGCACTATTGATTAGGGAGTCAATTACTGCAATCCAGAGAAATGATATCTTGGAAGAGTACTCAAATGAGGCCTTGTCAGTCGAACTTAGGAATGTTAAGGGAGCAGCTACTTTGCTGGGAGTGTATTACAGGCCCCCAAAGATGCAGCAGGAAATAGAGGAGTGAATATGTAGAAAGCTCACAGAGATGTGTAGTATAACTTGGTAATTGTACTGTCCTAACATAAATGTACCCAGGTTAATTTTTATTTGTATCAATACATAGAAGGCCCAACAGGGGACTACACAGTGGTGGATTTGGTTCTGGGGAAGGAAGCCATACATGTGTTCCATGTGGCAATGAGGAAACATTTTATTGATAGCAACCACAACGCTGTATTGTTCAAATTTATTTTGGACAATGAAAAGTATGGCCTGCAAAAGACTGTTTTGGATTGGGGAAGATAGATTGTGTTAAAATAAAGCAGGGTCTGGCCACAATAGACTGGGAACAGCTCTTTTTAGGTAAGTCTACAATGGAGCAATTGAGGGTAAAGGATCTGGGGAGAATACGGGTCCTACATGTACCCTTTAGGGGGAAATGAACAAACAGTAAGTTCAGAGAACCCTGGATATCTAGGACAATTCAGGACTGGATGAGGAAGAAGAATAGGGCTTTTAGTAAGTCCAAAGAGAGCGATTCAGCTGCAGCCATGGAGGAGTTCAGGAAGTACAGGAGGGAACTTAAAGCAGTTATATGAACAAAAAGGGGGTATGAAAAAGAACTTACAAACAGAATTAGGGAAAATCCTAACATATTTTACATATACATTAAAGGATGAGGTTAAACAGGAATAGAGTAGAGCCCATTAGGGACCAACGGGGCAACCTGTATGTGAAGCTGCAGGATATTGGAAGGGTGATGAATTAATACTTCCCTTTGGTCTTCACTATGGAAAAGGAGGACGTAAGGTGCAGAATTCAGGGAAAGGGACTGTGAGGAACTTACACAGTTTGACATTGGAAATGGCAAGGTTTTGGAAGCTTTGACGCGGTCAAACATAGAAACGTTCCCTGGCCCAGATTAATTGCATCCCAGGCTGCTGTGGGAGGCAAGACAGGAATTTGCAGGAACTGTGACACACATTTTTAATTCCTCGCTGGCCACACGTGAAGTACCAGAAGACTGAAGGACGGCAAATGTGGTTCCGCTTTTTAAGGAGGGTGATAGAGATGAACCAGGTAATTACAGACGGGTGAGTCTCATGTCAGTGGTGGGGAAACTGTTAGAGAAAATTCTGGAGGAGTGAATTAATACTTGGCAAGGCATGGGTTAATTAGGGACAGCCAGCGTGTCTTTATCAGAGGGAGGTCATGCCTAACTGAAAACGTGATCAAGTGTGTGGATGAGGGACGTTCAGTTATATGGGTTTTAGCAAAGCTTTTGACAAGGTCCCACGTGGGAGACTGAGAAGGTTAAAGCCCATGGAATTGAGGGAAACCTGGTGAGATGGATCAGAAGTACGCTTAGCAATAGGACACAAAAGGTAGTGGTAAAATGCTGTCTGAGTGACTGGAGACTGGTGTCCAGTGGTGTAATAAAAGAATCAGTCCTGGGACATTTATTGTTTGTTATAAACATAAATGATGTAGGTGAAAATTTGCAGTTGACACCAAGATTGATAGATGGTTAATAGCAAAGAAGAATGGGCAGAACGGTGGCTCAGTGGTTGGCACTGCTGCCTCATAGCGCCAGGGACCCAGGTTCAATTCCAGCCTTGGGCGACTGGATGTGGAGTTCGCACATACTCCCCGTGTCTGCATGGGTTTCCTCCAGGTGCTCCGGTTTCCTCCCACAGTCCAAAGATGTGCAGGTTAGGTGGATTGGCCAGGCTGAATTGCCCATTGTGTCTCGTGTGGAAAATGCAGGGATAGGATGGGGGTAGGTCTGGGATGCTCTTCAGATGGTTGGTGTGGACTTGATGGGCCAAATGGCCTGCTTCTACACTAGAGATTCTATGAAGATGGTTGTAGGTTACAGAAGGATATAAATGGGTTGGTCAAATAGGCAGAGCAGATGGATTTAATCCTGATGAGGAGAGGTGAGGTACTTTGGAAGAAGAAGCAAGATGAGGGAGTTTTTAATTAATGGGGGCACACTGAGTAGTTTAGAGGAACAGGGATCTTGGGGTAATTATTCACAGTTCCCTGAAGTCGGCAGAGCACGTGAATAGGATAGTTAAGAAAGCATATGGGACACTTGCTTTTATTAGTCATGGCATAGATTATAAGGGCAAGGAGGTAATATTAGAACGAAAACAAAGTTGCTGGAAAAGCCCAGCAGGTCTGGCAGCATCTGTGAAGGAAAAAACAGAGTTAACGTTTCGGGTCTGGTTACGTTAACGTTAACTCTGTTTTTTCCTTCACGGATGCTGCCAGACCTGCTGAGCTTTTCCAGCAACTTTGTTTTTGCTTGTGATTTACAGAATCCGCAGTTGTTTTGGTTTTTGAGGTAATATTGGAGTTGCATAGAGCATTGGACAGGCTGCAGCTGGAGTACCATGTGCAGTTCTGATCACCTCCCCACAGGAAGGAAAGTAGCACTAGAGCGGGGACAGAAGCAGTTCACCAGGATGTTGCCTGGGATGGAGAAATTGAGCAATAAGGAGAGACCAGGTAGGCTTAGATTGTTTTCTTTAGAGCAGAGAAGACAGAGGGGAAGCATGTTTGAGGTGTATAAGATTGAGAGTGTGGACGGAATGATTAGAGAGCAGCTGTTTGCCCTTGATTGAGGAATTAGTCATGAGCAGGTGTAATTTTAGGGTAGGGGGCAGGAGATTCTGAGGGAATTTGGGAAATAAAATCATTTTCACTCAGCAGGTGGTGGGAATCTGGGATGCACTGCCTGGGAAGGTAGTGGAGGCTGGAAACTTTGCAATCTTTAAAAAATATTTGTGTACGAAATATCAAAATATTTAAGGATGTGGGTTAAGTGCAGAAAATTGGGATTAGCGCAGTTTTAGCGATAGTTATTGTCAGTGCAGACTTGATAGTCCGAAGGACCTTTCTGCACAAAGATGTACTTTATCACAATACAGTACTGTTAATAACCAGAATTTGGTTTTAGGCAAAAAACTTTGAATCTATAATTTGAACCATTGTGATGAGTGACCTTGAAACCTGTTTATTGTTTAATTATTAAAATCTTTCAATTGGCAGAGCAAATAAGTGAATAATTCAAGGCTGAGGTAATGACTAATGAGATTTTTCTCAAAGAAAAGATTTATGTTTAGCGATTGCTTCAAAAGGATGAGAATCAAAATGGCTAGAATTAATGTCCAATAACATGGTGTGTTAGCATTCTGATTCATGATACTAGTTGTTCTCAGCCTTTACCTGGAAGAAAGCAACCCTACAATCGGAAGCAGGTTAAAAATGCCAGATTCACACACTTGATTAATGTTCTTTAAAGCCTTCAGAAAGTACAAATGTGTCAACAACAAGTGAAGACAGAGTCACAAGCAAAATACGGCAAATAGTGGAAATGTGAAGTGTGAAAATACTCAGCAGGTGTTATAGCATTCATAGAAAGAGAAACAGCTAATGTCTTGGGTTGACTGTCGATTGCCAGATAAGAGTTCTGATGAAAGGTCATTGATCAGACATATTAATTGTTTCTTTTTCCATAAATGTTGCCTGATCTGCTGAATTTCCAGTTTTCTCTGATTTTACTTGAGAACAGGTGCA